GGCTCTACTCATGATTGACGGAGGTCTTGATGTGGGCGGAGACGGCTCTACTCGTGATTGACAGAGGTCTTGATGTGGGCGGAGATGGCTCTACTCATGATTGACGGAGGTCTTGATGTGGGCGGAGACGGCTCTACTCGTGATTGACAGAGGTCTTGATGTGGGCGGAGACGGCTCTACTCGTGATTGACAGAGGTCTTGATGTGGGCGGAGAAGGCTCTACTCGTGATTGGTGGAGGTCCTAATGTGGGCGGAGACGGCCCAAATTGTGATTGGTGGAGGTCTTAATGTGGGCGGAGACGGCCCAAGAAATGTGATTGGTCAGATTGACGGTGGGGTTTGAAGAGGCTGGAGGCAGCGGGGAGTAGTTTGGTCGAGTCGGGCAGGAAGTAACATGTTTTTTTAAAGATTAATTTTAGTCATAACTTGAGAAAGGAAAGTGCTAGCTGCACGAAATTTGAACGTCGTACATATGAAGGGATGTATAACAATTTGGCTTGATCGAAACATCCCTAACCAGCCTGTAAAAAATATTGTTTTTTAGCTATCTTTTTACAGTCTGGTTGGGGATGTTACTCATATGTACGACGTTCAAATTTCATTCAGCTAGCGCCTTCCTTTCTCAAGTTATGACTAAAATTAATCTTAAAAAAACATGTTACATCCTGCCCAACTCGACCAAACTACTCCCCGAGTTGGATCGTCTCCGCCCACATCAAAACCTCCACCAATCACGATTTGGGCCATCTCTGCCCACAGGACAACATGTACTGCAGAGACCCCCTTCTCAGACTAAATCTTGTTCTTGATACAGAGTCAGGTTTCTGGGGCCAAAGCTTGATCGTGGAGGTCCAGACCTCCCCTCTACAGACACATCTTCCAGCTCTTCTAGGACTCCAGGGTGTTATTAAGAATTAAACTCCAAACAGAGGAGGTCCAAAGAGCTATCTGCAACAGGTAAGATAGTTTTAATTATAAGCTTTCCTCAGAACCCTGTTTTAAAATGACTGGATTAGCCCTTTAACTCAGATTTCTTCTCTGAGGCAGACTTTCTTCTCTAACTCTTTTATTTCTCACCTGAGGAAACACGAGTGAGGTGTGATTCTGTTTCTGTCTGAGTAACAGTGAGAGGAAGGAGCACTCTGTGGTTCAGACCTCCACTCTCTGAGTGTTTACAGGGACGGAAGAAATGAAAACACTCAATAGCTTTTTTTAGATCCTTACAATATTCTTCCATTTAAAGAAGCCCGTGTTCCTGCAGAGGAACAGTTTGTCCCTCTTGTTCCCAGAGTCTGAATCACTACAAAGCTTCAGGTCATCAGATGAGACTGAGAGTCAGAGAACAAAACTCTGAAGATTGTGTTTAAACCATCTGAGAAAACTGAGGGAGGAGAGAGGGAGGGATGATGGATGGATGATGGATGATGGATGGATGATGGATAGATGGAGGGATGATGGATGGAGGGATGATGGATGGAGGGATGGAGGGATAGATGGATGATGGATGGATGGATGAATGGATGGATGATGGATAATGGATGGAAGAATGGATGATGGATAATGGATGGATGGATGGATGAATAATGGATGGATGATGATGGATGGATGGATGGATGGTGGATGGATGGATGGATGATGGATGGTGGATGGATGATGGATGGATGATGATGGATGGATGGATGGATGGATAGATGGATGATGGATGGATGGATGGATTGATAGATGGATGGATGATGGATGGATGGATGGATTGATAGATGGATGGATGATGGATGGATGGATGGATTGATAGATGGATGGACGGATGATGGATGGATGGATGGATGGATGGATAGATGGATAGATAGATGGATGGATGGATGGATGGATGGATGGATGGATGGATGGATAGATAGATGGATAGATAGATGGATGGATGGATGGATGGATGGATGGATGGATGGATGGATAGATAGATGGATAGATAGATGGATGGATGGATGGATAGATGGATGGATGGATGGATGGATAGATAGATGGATAGATAGATGGATGGATGGATGGATAGATGGATGGATGGATGGATGGATAGATAGATGGATAGATAGATGGATGGATGGATGGATAGATGGATGGATGGATGGATGG